TACTTAATTATGGTTAAATCTAATTTTGCGACCAAATTTATTATATATAATTTAGGTAATATCGACGTCAAATTACACCAAAATGTTTGCTGGGGCATTTCTGTAATTTGATTTTTTTGCGATTTCCAGTTTTAAATTTCTTATATACCTAAATTTATTAGGCTTAAAATTTATTAAATTATATTTTACTGACTTGTTATAAGACGTTTCTTGAGTTTTATGCAAAATATAGAATTACCACAAAATTAGCCATGGTCTCGGCGTTCGCTATCCGACAAGTTTAAACTTCAAACGGTCATATTATTACAAATTGAATCACTTGATAGTGTTTATCGGCATAGATTTTTAACCCTTCAAAGCCCGAATTATTTTTTTTTTGTTTTATTTATTTTTTTTGAGCTTTTTGTACTAAAATAGGTTTAATAAAAGTACTGAAGCAAATTTTAAATTTTTGTATTAGCTATAAGTAAAAAAAACATCTGTTACATATATGTAATGCTAGGCTTTATTACTATCTATTTTTTATTTTGTATGAAAACCTAAATTACACATTAAACACAGGCCAATGTTACATTTTCTACACATGGTTCTTGCACTTGTGTTACAAAGTTCCATCGCACAACGCCTTCTTTTCTGGTCCGGTATATCAACCAGCAGATGATCAATTCTGTCATATCGTATACCATCACTGACTCTGTTGCCTTGGTTACTGGTTAACGAAGATGATGACCTACCAGCTCCTTTGGAAGCAGTGCCATATTTTGAAAGATAAGTATTTAATATTTCTCGCCTAAACTGTAGTTTAGTGACAGACTTCCCAGATTTTTTATATAAGACCCAGGCATTTTGAATGGAGACGTCAATGAGCCAGGAAAATAGAGACCACCACCATACTTCTATACGGTATCGTCCCACATTTTCGTCCATCAAATCGGTTCCACTCATTGATGCGTTATATTTTCCAATCATAGTTGGTCGTGGAACCGTTATGACTTTCTTTTCTTTTGACGGGTATCTCCTTACTTGTGAAATTGGCTCAACTCCATAACAGGTGGATGTGACAGTAACGACATTGTTATCTACACATCCCCAGATAGCACACGACGTCTGAAAGACGTCTTTTTTGTGTCTTGGTTTGGTCTCAATGTCCTAGGACGTTATTAAGACGTCTTATAAGACGTCTTGCCAAAGCCATAATTCAGACGTGATAATGTGAGAGCTCAAAGACGTTCTTAAGACGTCTTAAAGACGTCTTGCCAAATCCATATATTAATGTGAAAGCTCAAAGACGTCTTTAAGACGTCTTACAAACGTCTTTCAGTCGGACGGAAACTTGCACGGTTTACATAATTCAAATTTAACAAAAAGAATCAAATGAAGTGAAGTTTGTCGTTTGACTTAACATTACATTCAAGCCGGAATTCCGATTCGGACACTGTCGTGGCAACATTAAAATGGCGGTCTCCGAATCGGGAGCCCATATGGCCTATAAAAATCACAAAATATCTAGTATAAAAGTGACCATCCGACTTTAAAAAGTGTACAAAATTAAACAAAATATTGGGTGTAATATTTTGAGAAGAATATTGAAATCAAATATCAAGTGCAGTGGAAAAGTGAAAAGATTGAGCCCATCTAAAACGAAGAAAAGAAGCAGCCAAAAATTTGTATGGCTCAAGCTCATTGTGGATTATTGATTATTTTATTGCGTACGCGATTATAGCCACCAAAAGCGACTTTGGGCTATTTTGAGCATTTGTGTCTCTTTCTACTTAAATAATACGGAACACAAACCAGAGGGAAGAATAATTACTGTTACCGATGTAGCACGTTCCTGGAAAACAGGTAATAAATGAATATTTGTTTATATACATAGAACATTAATATCCTGTTTCTTCTAAGAATAATTAAATTAATTGAAAAGTAAACATCTTAATATAATATTTAATTCAGATATTATCATTTTTGTTTTTGTTTTTTTGGATATTTTAAGAACTATTAATATCAAAAACTCCCTATTAGATAGCATTTTTGAGTGAAGTTAAAGTAGGCGATTAAGCATAATAGCTCATATTGCATTAAATGATTATAAAAATTCTTTGATCTAAAATTCTAAGAAATTAATTTGTGTTTTGTTTTATAGATAACTGATCTTTAGGTTTTTACTAACTTTTGCAAAGTATAATTTTCTGTGACTAGATGCTCTTAACTAAATTTCTTTTTAGGAGCTATACAAAGGCAACTACAAATCAAAGAGAAAAATCAATCCAGTTATGGCTAAAGAGGAGTGATCGAATGCGCTACAAAGAAAATATCTCTTAGTGACCTGTGATTAATAGATATTTATCAATAAATATTTTAATTTTATTTTTTGCATTATTTATAATCTGCAAGGTTGTTCTACTTTTTAATAACCAAGATATCCGACGTCCTACGTTCATGATATCTTAAAGACGTCTTATTTATGGCTTCATAAGACCATTATAAGCTATTAATAAGTCGTCCTAAAGACGTCATATTTATGGCTTATTTAAAGCTTCACAAGACCATTATGAGCCATTAATAAGACGTCTTATTTAAGGCTTCACAAGACCATTATAAGCTATTAGTAAGTCGTCTTAAAGACGTCTTATTTATGGCTTATTTTAGGCTCTTCAGATCAATATGCCATTAATAAGACGTCTTAAAGACGTCCCCTTTTGTAACATCAGACGTCTTCTAAGACGTCTTAAAGACGTCTTTCAGGAAATACCAGACGTCTTAAAGACGTCTCGAATGTCTTATGCGAGACGTCTTAAAGACGTCTTTAAGACGACTTTGTGCTACCTGGGTCTCGCAAATACAATGCCGGTGGTTCGGTCAAGTATGGAGAAATATTCTCCACGTTTTGCTGATTTTTGAAGAGTTGCTTTTGTAAGTAGAGGTATGCCCTTTGGCAGGCGATTTTCCCGCATTATTCCTGTGCACCAGTATCCTTCGTCTCTCATATCCATTAGTAAATACGTACTTGTAAATAGATTATCGATATATCTTTTATATAACACTTCCTTCATCATCATTTTTAGAGGAGCTGTGGACTTCCCATACAAGAGTTCATCTGTCGCGTTTGACCTCGGATTTTTTCCCTGATAGAGATCAAAATTTATCGAGTAGCCATCTTTGGTATTCAAGCACCACATCTTGAACCCAAACCGGATGGGTTTTCCCCGGATAAATTGTTTACACGAGTGTTTTCCATAATATTTCACCATCGACTCGTCGTAATTGATGTCTTGTTTGGGTACAAAATATTTCAAAAAGGTTGCTTTCAACTTATTCATTAGTGGACGAATTTTCCATCCTTTATCATGTACATTTGGCTCATGATATCAAAAAACCGATTTCTTCTTATACAATTTTTGACTAATGGGTGTCCCATATCGGACTGAGAATCCCAATAAAAGCGTTTACCAGGTCTTTGATTGTAGCTACTTAGAATTAATACTGCTATACCACATTTTAGTTCTTCGATGGAAAATTTGGGGTATGGACTGTTTTTGAATAAGGCATATTTTGTTGTCTCAAGTAGTAGGTATTCAAAGATGTCATCGTCCCAAAATAATTCAAACATTTGAACTGGCGAAAAAGTACTAAATTTTGAATAATTCGGTACTCCAAAATTCATTTCGACATTCTGAAAGGCACCCTTGATCCAATCGTGTTGAATTTTCTCCTTAGTGATGGTTTCAGGATGGTTTTCCTTTTCTAATATCGGTCTGTTATCTTCACTGGAGGATTGACATGGTTCATCCGATTGACCAATTCCTGCGTTATGTTTGAATCTAATTTCAGCACCCGCTAGCAACTGACGAGGTGGAAGGTGATTCAAATCTCCCTTTGTATCCTCATCTCCAGACTCCTCGTCAGTAAGGACGTTAACATCTGGAGACTCAGTGTATATTGCTTCCACATCCAAGTCGTCATTGTACACCATTTCCAAGGCTTCTTGTAGGGTAAACCCTTTTCTGGAAAAAATAAAATAAGTAATAAAAGCGGGATAATGATCCAGTTTTACTAAATACTAGAACAAACATACTAGCAACAATAAAAAGTTTGCTCTCATTGTATTCTGTAAGCCATAAATACTTTATTTATCAAAATTCACACATTTCTATATTATCTTTACACATAATGGCTTATTTTTAAAACACGGTAACAGAAAGTCCTAGCGTTACATATATGTAACGCACAACTTTTAGGTAAGCTATGACAAAAAACAAAATCGTTTTTCTAATTCTAAGTTAAGAGGGTTAAAATACACTTATACTTAACCCCTTACACTTAACACTTATACTAGATTACATTTACAAAATTTAATGTTAAAATAATGTAGCTTTTAATAGTTTATAATACTTACTCAAATTTGGGTTCCATTTTTCGTTCCTCTTTTCGCCAACTGATTTTTTGCATTCTTTAGAACACTCATACACGATAGTATAAAGACAACTAACGTTCACACTAGATAAAATGGCATTTCTTAGTAGTACAGGCAATGACATCTATCCACAAAATGAAAAACCTAAACACAGTAACCTACTTCATGAATCACTGAAGCTGTTACATATAAGTAACGCAGGGCTTTTAAGGGTTAATAACGGTGTTTAGCAAGCTCTGTGTACACGTGGTTTTTCGGACTTCTTTAGCAATTTATTGAGTAAGTACGTTCCTAAATTAAGAAAATTCTATCACAGTGCTATAATGTTTTTGGTTCTAGGTTTCAATGGCTTGCCTGTGTTTATTATGTCATCAGACCCTTGCAGAGGGTGAACTTACCCCAATTAGACCGACAGGATTGAAAGGTCTGCAGACGGTCAGCAAAAAGAGGGGGGGTGATTTTTTCAGTTCATTAGAACCAGGTTTTATATTGCATGAGAGGTGTCGCAAACATTACGTAGCTCGACGTTACGGAAAAGAGTTTATTTATAAAACCTGGGATAGGCATAAAATGGCCGCGATTGACAATGCCAAAAAAAAGGAGGATAGAGCATCAACCGAGAAGAAAACAAGAAGGAGCGACTCTTTTGATTTTGAGACTTTATGTTTCATTTGCACGCAAAATATTGCGGGTATTGGACAAACTAAACTGCGAAAAAATTTCGCCAAAATCACAACACAAGTCAAAAACTTTAATTGAGTCTGCCGAGAAGGGGTACCTGGTTTACCAAGAAGCTGCCAACCACTTGTTAGATGCTCGTTTGGATCAAGAAATTCCGAAATATCATCACAAATGTTTCCTTCAATGCAACCGGTACAGGACAGGTGTGCTTCCTGGAAAACCAAAGGGTCGCCCGAATGACTCAGCAATCACATCAGAAATTGAGGAAATTTACAAGCATATTGAAAAGTCCAATGATGTCGTCTATAAAATGTCAGAACTAACTGACATGTTAGGTATGTACATGGTTTTTGTTATAGTCCTAACCCGTAATGGCAAAATGCGGATAACAAGCAATTTGAACATATAATTGATTTATCTGTTCTTATTGCAGATGGCAGTATGGATAATAGAACAGTCATCAAACGACTGCAGAGCTATTATGGTAAAACTGCGAGGATTATTACCCATAACGGCGTCGGAACTTTCCTGGTTTTTGAAGAGCACGAGTATGACATATTGAAACAAGAGTGGACCGCCAACAATCTCGATCCAGCCCAAGAAGCTATGAAAAATGTCCAATCTGCAGCAACGGTTATACGTCATCAAATTTGTAAAAATAAATATGAAACAGAGTATTATCCCTCTGGTGAGGTTATGTTTAGCGAAGAAAAAATGGTTGAAGATATTCCAGAGTTATTGTTTCTTCTAATTCAGTCCATAATAAGTACAAACAAAACAGGAAAACCTGATGCATTATTAAGAAAATTTATAGTAATATGTCATCTCATAATTGCAGCAACTCGTCCTCGATCATTCATGTCTTCTGTACTAGTGGGTTTGGGAGTAATGATATATCAAAAATTTGCTTCTAAGAACCTGTGAGATGTTTTATCCAATCTGGGCATAACTGCATCCTATAATGAAGCTAGATTATATATACAATCTCACATCGTTGGTAACGCTAAAAAAAATTTATATAATGTTTGGGTTCATTTTGGGTTTGATAATGCAGACTTTCAGGTCCAATCGTTGAATGGATCAAAAAGTTGGTATGTCACAGGTGGGGCTCTGTTCGCCGTCCCTGTTGATTGTTACGAACCCCAAGAGGGCGCGAAAAAATTAAAAAAGTCCTGAGTGCACAAGAAATGGCTGATTTCCCACTTGTAATTACGTCAGATGGGTGGGGGAAGGTCGAAGTAAAGAGTCTCAATGTTCTAAAGTTCGGGCCGAAAAAATTATCCCCTGCAGATTTGGTTTATTTTTTCAGCAAACTTAGTAATAGCAAATTTTTTGGCTGAAATGGTTTTTGGCAAAAGCTAACTGAAAAAGTGACTTTTGAACGAGCTCGTTCAGTATGCCTGCCCTTTTACAATGCGCCCTCAAGTCATCCAAATTCAGTTATGTCTGTCCTCCAATTTGCCACAACAATTGCTAAAGAAATAGGGATAAAACGGTATTCGTGACTTTTGATCGAACTATTGCAGATTTGCAATGCGACCTATGACATTCGAAATACGAGTATAACCGAAAACTACGCATTTTTTGTGCTTAGAAAATTGCTCGTAGAACGAGTGGTTTTCTCTTAAATTCAACATTTTTCCTTCTTGTAGAGAAAAAACAAGCACATTGTCGATTTTTTCCGTAATTTGGGCACTTTACAGACTGAAAATATACAGGGTGTCATTGAAATAGTGTAAAAAAATTCGGGAGGTGATAGTACTCCTAAAACTAGTAAAAAAAGTTCCTATAACTATGGGTCGTTAAATACCTATTAAGGGATTTAGGGGCGTCAAAAGGGTAAACTTGGAAAGTGGTTTTTTTGAAATTGTAAGCTTAAAAAACACGATAAAACTTCAAAAAAAATCCCTGTTGACATAAAATTTACTGCTGAATCCAATGGTAATATCGAAAAATTATTTATTTAATTAGAAAGGGTAGTTTTTGCAAGGGTAAGGGGTCGATTTATGATTAACTTTTTAGGGATTGATTTTTTTACAACTTTGTCTCATCCAATTACAAATTAATGTAAGTTAGAAGGGGTTTTTTTCGTTATTTAACCTCAGTTTCCTTAAAAGACATCTCTATTATTTTACCTAGCTATGTTGCCAATTTTTTAAGTACCTGTAACGTACGGCAATCGAGCGTCAATTCCATAATAATTATTAATTTATTTCGTTTCTCTTCCTAAAAATTCTTTTACTTTTAATTTCCCTCCATATCTGGAGATTTATATATTAATTTTTATTAAAATGTAGTACATATTGACTAAGTATTAATATTCATCATCTCTAAACTACTTTTCGGAGTGGGAGTTGCCAATATTTAAAAAACGGAGTATTAAAAAATGAACTTTTGATATCTGCGAAAATGACCAGATAAATTAAATGAATTTGAATATTTAAAGTTGGATTCGAATTTCAGTAAGTTATGAAATATTTTAAACTACGCAAATGTTCGAACACGTGAATGTATAATAAAAATACGGGGTTCTTGAGAACGCTCACAGGTAGATATTAACTTAAAATAATTTTTTTTGTAATTAAATAAAAGGAAAATTAAATGACATCGTCTCAGTTAACTGTGAAATTTTAAGCCAGTAGTCAAACCATCTATAAATGCCTGATGAGCATTTGTAAACTTTTTTTTACAAAATGTCCTTCATTTATCCATGGTTTCATTCAAATAAAAAATATTTTGTCTTCTATTCTTAATTTCCTTTAAATATTGCTTCCTCCAAAATAATTTCATCTTCTTTACGAGAGCAGATTTTCTATCGTTTTTCTCCCAAACGAAGTCTAATTCATGTAAAGTTTTCAAAAATTTGTCTTTTGTAACATTTGGAAAAGTTTTTTCTCCATTAATGTCTACTGACAGTTTATCCAAAGTAGGTATCCTTTTTTATAAATAAAACGAATGCACTTTTCTTCGGATCAGTTGTTTCATAGTAAGATCCGATTACAATTAGAAGAACACCGCTACGTCATAACTATTACTTCGAATTTCGAGTTCATATTATCTATAACTATCAATAAATAACCAATAAGTAAGTTGTTAGGTATAAAACAATATTTCCTATATTCCTATAATATGAACACTCCATCCACTAAACCAGTAGGCGGTGATAACCATTTTATAACTTTGCCAAATAATAACGTAGCTAAGTTCTTCTAATTGTAATCGGACCCTACCGTCTATTTGAATGAGTTTTCTCCTAGTTTACGTTTTAGGTTTTAGGTACTGTAAAATTTCTATCCTTTCATTGCTTCTAAAGTCTATAAATGGTTGCTTCTCCAACTACGGTCATATTTGACTACTTAGAAACTATTCTCCGAACAGTACTATTGAAATGTATAATGTACAAGAGCGTCATGTACATTTAACACTAATTCACTTGGTTAATATCGCTTTTTATCTTCTATTATCACAGAACTAACAATTCTGCGTGTTACAATCACAGGACTATAAAAACAGAAATGTAAATCTTAACTAAAATAATTTAAAATCTGCATAACACTTTCTGTCTTATTAGAAATTTTAATCATTTCCAATAAAGTTGAGAGTTACCTAAATTGGTCTTGAATTGCATATATTTTCTACCTGTAGAGATTTCATACTTACCTAATTTTTGTTGAATAAAATAACTAGAAAATTTAAGGCAAGAATTGAAACAAATTGGTATATTTAAAAATTTTAGTATGAAAACCAAAGATTTTATTTTGGAACAGCATTTTAATTTAAAAATTCTCCGTCACTGATTTATGATGTTATATTGGGGTTTATCTCCTTGATCATTTATTTTTAAATAAACTATAAGTATAATACATGTTTTAATATTTTCAAATCTTCTTAAACCTAACAACCGAAAATTATATTGATCATTTTAATATTGCATTTTGTATTTTAATGAAGAGCATTCAAACAAACAAACAAACAAACAAAACAAAAACAAAAACATATTTATAATGACATTATCGGTAACATTTATACCTTTCGTGACTACCTTTTTCACATTTTTATAGAAATTAGAGCGTATTGTGGCATGATACCGAAAATTTCATTACATTTCTAAGTCTCCAGAGTCTTGTTTATAAAACGTATATTAGAACTGGGGGGGGTACTTACATAAAATCTAATTAACAGAATGTATTCGCTTTGCGCTACTTACCTTTACTTTATTCACCTTAATAAAGTTTTTAACTATTTATATCAGAAGATTTTTTGAGAGTGTATTTTGGTACATTTTGATGGTTACACAGAATGCTGCCAAACTCTCTGTTCTGAATTTGCCACTCAATGGGGTCAGTGAAAAAATTGGAATTGGAATATTTTAATTAAAAATTGTATAACTATGTTTTTAGAAATGTTAAAGCAATGAATCTAAAATAATGATATTAATAATATAATGTTTGAAAAGTATTTGTAAAAATAATATTAAACATATGACATCAACTAAATTGTAACGAAGAAGGATAATAATTTCAGAATGCTGTGTTTCTGTCGGTTTTATTATACAGGGTGGGTAATTTAACTGGAATTAATTCGTTAAAGTCCCAGAATAAAATATTCGGTTAAAACGCAAAAACAGCTTTGATGAGGTTTTTGTGGGCATTCCAGTCATATTAAAAATTTGTTTTTAATTATTAAGATTAAATATACATTAAAATGAGTTATTTTTGTGTAGAATCCATAAATAATTGTAAATAATAGCATTTCAATTTTTATTTGAACTATATTTAAAAAGAAAATTAAATTTTAATAAAACTATATGAAACTATTTTAATGACGAGTATTAAAACTAAAATCGTAAAGGTGGCCATAGAGGCATGGACACGTGAAAAGCCGGGATTTTTATTTTATTTTAAAAATCAATAACATTCATAAATTATTTTAAAATTAGTTATTTTGTCTTAATGACCTAAAATATTTTTTAATTTGTAGATTTCCGTTAGTGGGCCGTAGAAAAAATACACTGTACAACTCGAGTGAATTATCCATATCCACTCTTGTTACACAAACAACTATTTTCTATACCCACATGGATATTAGCTTATCTACACACGGATTACAAAACGAAAATATTGCCTTGCCGTCTATTTTTATGTATGAGAGAGTATTAAAATAATAAAGCGTTCGTAATCCATAGGCATACCACTTCTTTTAGTAGACAGTTAAAATATTTTTTGAAGTTATTCCTCGAATATTCACTTATATTTTCACCTAATTAACCTGCTTATAACCTCTAAACAGCTGAAGGTAAAAAAGTGCAATTTTGTCTAAAATGTTTTATTTTTCCACAAGGTATGTTAAGAACATTGTGTCAAACGGGTTAAGTAGGTATAAGGGTTTAAACTTTGACTTTTAAACAACGTTACGTTCATAAATAATAATTTTAATATAAAAACTACTTCTTACCTACAAATCCAAATCAGAATCGAAATCAGAAGATGAACTGTCGCAACCAATATTTACAATGAGTGGCTCGATCATTTCATCAGTAATATTGTCCAACTTCCACATTTTCTCTTCTTCTTTAATCGTATGATTTACTGCCTTTTCCCAGTTTTCAGGCTTCACATTATTTACAGCCTCCAAAAACAACTGTTAGCCCAATCGGATTAGGTGAAGAACAGGCTTGAGATTCTGAAAAATTCGAAGCAGCAATTTTCCTTCGGAATTCGTTGGAGGGGGTCTGTGGTAGTCTAAATTCAAAAAGTTGGGATTCCAAAGTTGTCGTTACCTCCGCCAGCTTGATTTAAAGGGTTATTTTTTGTATCTTGAATAACTCATTTATTTTCAATTTTACACGGAAAATAGTTTTTACAAAAGTTATTTATAATTAAATTTCCTACAATTCTGCTTTTTTTTTGTACGATCGATTTTTT